CTTTTCCTATTTTTTGTGGAACAACATTTATTATTATTTCCTAATAATTGAATAAAAATCAAGCTTTAAGTGCGCATCACAGTGTAATATAAAAAAGAACAGTAAAACTGGAACAACATTTATTCACGACTCTAATTCATTTTACGAAGGTGTTTGAAGCTTCTGTCAGTAGAAATCGAAGCACTATAATCGTTCCTGCAGGAAGTTCCAAGGATGAAGGGTGGGCAGCATTCAGGAACATTTTGGCAGAGATTAATAAAGCCTCAAGGCTTTAAATACAACACAAATCAAAATCACAGTCTCGTCATCGCCGCCACGCTCGCTGGATTTTCTGCAAATCCCACTGGAAACTCCATCGGTACTCATCACTCTGGTAACCTCAAATTGTGTTATTTTACTATTTTCTTGATACGATTTTGCTGCCACACCTACACCGAGTCTTTCCCCCATAATCACTTGCTCCAATTCCTCCCCGATTGTGTTTAATTTGAAACTTAGGTCATTAAGCTCTTCGCGTTCATGTCTTGTTCCGTCTAGATCTATGTTGTTTTTAAGCTTATAATGTGTTTATCATGTATGTTGGAGCATCATTAGTTTGACTCATGTTGATTTGACTGGTTTTCTGAAATTGTTGTTCATGTCTATGATGAACATGAACGTTTCTAATTGAGAATTTGAGAGATGGTTTTGAAGAGAATAGAGAGGCAAATGCAGTAAAAAAATGTATTATTTTAATATTTAATACTATTTTAATTGTGACATCATTGCCATGTAATAAAAAGAGATGCTACATATGCTAAAGAGGACAATCCAGCATCCACCTCAGCTGTCATGTCATTTCTGTCTAATGTCGTTTAACATTACTCAACGGAAATGACTTGTTTGATTCTGTTTGACAATGTAAGAGATCAAATTGGACGTTTTAAAAGAAAGAGGACCAAAATGGACCCAGAGGTATAGGTAAGAGACTAAAAAGAATATTAAGCCTTTTATTTAATTGAAATTCCTTAATTTAAAAAAAAAATTGTTTGAATAATGTATTCAATATTTTCTTTGTTATATTTTTGGGGTCATTTTTACAAAATTTAAAAATGAGTCAAATTAAAAATTTGAAAAATAAAGACTAGTTTACAATTTTAGAAAAATTAAAGAACCAATTTGTAACATTTAAAAAATAATAAGGACCAATTTGTAAATTTAAAAAAATTGGAGATCAATTTTAAAATTTTGAAAAATATGAGAACCAACTTGTAAATTTTGACACAATAACAATAGTCAATTTGACATTCTCATGTTGTTGAGTATGTGAGAAATTTCAAATTTTTGAGTTTTATGTATCATTTCAAAATCATAAAATTTAACTTGAACAAAATATTTTATAAATTTTTATCGTTTTAACAATTATTTATATTTTTTATCCTAACAATAATTTTTTTCCAAATTATTTTAAATTCGCTCAAAACATTGTACTACATTTTTTTCCGTTAAAAGACATCATCCAAACATACTATTAAAATTTTAAATCATACTTTAACAATAATCATTTAAAAAAAATATAATTGAAAATTATTAATCGATTCATCAACTAATTTTTAAATATGACTGCAAATTTATATGTTACAAACTTGTATAAATACTTTATAAATTTGTTTATGAAAATATAAAATAAAATTTTATTTTACTATGAAGACCTTTATATATATATTTTCCTTAGATAATAATTTGGATTAAATATATTTTTAATTTTTATAAATAAATTACTATTTAATTTTAGTCCTTCTAAATTTTTTTTAAACAATGATTTTTTAAAAATTTTTAGTCTCTCCCATTAATTTCTCTTGATGGAAGCTAATGTGGCATGCCATGTAAAAAAGTTTTGATAACTAAAAAAGAGTTTTACCTACTGATAACAAATAACTGTCACTAAAATTAGATTTTTCTTAGAAGCTTTTACCATTGATGCCCAAGTCACTGCAGGTTTTCCAATTTGACTGATTATTTTACAAGAGTTTAAAAACTATATAATATCCTGGATTGTACTTGGTAGGAATAATTAGCAACTATAATTAGTATTGAACGTAACCATGGATCTTCGTAACCATGAATCTTAAAATGACAAATTTTAGGAATGATTAATTTATAACCCCGTGGTTTTAAATTAGTATTTTAATATGAATGATAATTGGTTTGAAGATTTATGATAATAGTGAAAATCTTTGATTAAATGAAGATACTTTTAATGACGGTTTCTGGATTTTTGACATATATTTTCATCTTCTGAGATTCTTTTTAGTGACGAATTCATGTCTATAGTGACAGATTCTGGATTTTGACATGAATTTTCATCTTCTAAGATACTTTTAGTGACGATTTTGGGTCTATAGTGACAGATTCTGGATTTTTGATATGAATCTTCATCTTCTAAGATACTTTTAGCAACCGTTTCTAGGCTATAGTGACGAATTCTGTATTTTTGACATGAATTTTCATTTTCTAAGATACTTTTTGTGATGGTTTCTGGAATATAATGACGGGTATGAATCTTTATCTTCTATGATACTTTTACTGACAGGTTTCCAGACTTTAGTGACATATTTATGATTTTTGGACATGAATCTTCATCTTCTAATATATTTTTAGTGACAGATTCTGGATTTTGTCATGAATCTTAATCTTTTTAAATAGTTTTAATGACGATTTATGAGTTTCAGTGAAGGATTCCGAGTTTTGTCATGAATTTTCATCTTTTAAGATAGTTTTAGTGACAATTTTTTAGTTTTAGTGACAGTTTCAGGGTTCCAGTGACAATTTATGGGTTTTGTAATGAATTTTCATCTTTTAAAATAGTTTTAGTGACAGTTTCTTACTTTTAGTGACGCTTAGTCTTACACGTGACATGCCATATCACCTTCCGTTAATGAAAGTTAACCAAAAAGACTAAAATTATTGTCAAAACATATTAGGAGAACTATTGTTTGAAAAAAAAATTTTAAGAGATTAAAATAAAATTCATCAATATTTATAGAAATCTCCGATGTATTTAATCTTAAATCTTTAGAAAGGTGTTAGAAATGCTAGACAAAAGAAACACAAACTTAATTGGATCGTGACACTTGAATAATAATGGAGGTAGACAAATCGCTTAACTTAGCAAGATTTATGGAACTCCATGAATTGAGGCCACAAAAGTGAGAATTGAATGATTATTGTATATATTCTTGTGTACGCATCTATTTGAATAGTGCAATGAAAATTGCATATATGTGAAATGTATCATTCTTTTCTTAATCTATTAATGGTCAAAGAACAAAGTGTCCCCTAAAAAAAATTGCATTATTTTATTTAGTTTGGCACCGTTCAGATAGCAATATTGACATTTCAAAAATGATTCATTGCTATCATTTTCCAATATAAATTATGAATATAGATAGAGATGCATGTTTTGTAATATTTCATTTGATTTGGGTTGAATTATTGACTCTTCAAAATGAAATTAATGGTTTTTTAATGGACAGAGAAATTGATGGTTGAGATTGAGAAGTTATTTTCTTTACTTTTTTAATAGAGATAAAGAGTTATGATACCATTACACTATCTAACGCAATTTTTACATATTTTTTTAATCAGTTCAGATTTAAATGAGCTTTATTAAACTTATTATTAAACTTATGTGATGCTTAGGGAGAATCATAAGTGTGAGTAGCGTGTGTAAATCACACATTGTTTAGAAATGTGAAAATTTAAACATTTATAAATAGAAGATTTCACACATCTATTATTTTAAAGTTTTGAATGAATACGTGATGTATCTCTCACAAAATATGTTGTTTTGATAAAAAAAATCCTAAAGTAAAAATGATCTCTCGTGTTGATCCCTCCTCGAATAGCCCTAATAGTGGTATCATGAAACTTTGCTTCGAATGTATTAAATTACATAAATTACATCATCAAATTATAAAACACCTTAGAAAACCAATTAAAAAAGAATTTCATATGTTTAAAAAATTGTTAAAAGTCAAAACTATCCAATAAAATAAGAGTTAAAATCACGTAAATTCGAATAAAATAGGGCAAAAATTTTTAACTTGGATAAAATCGGTTTTGTCTTTGATTTTATCCAAACTTCTTTTTACAAGCGATTTAACTCAAGATATATACCTAAATAAGTAAAAACAAACAATTTTACAAATTAACACACAAATTTAACAATCAAGCTCATGAGAATTTCAATCAATTAGAAAGAATGTGGTAAAGAGTGTACTCCTAACACTACTCTAGAGAGAAAATGTCCATTAGTGAGTCTTTTCGATTCAAGAAATTAGGGCTAAATCATAAGAATTTTATGATGCGATTGTTAAAAGAAAATGTTAAAGTTCTTGTAGGATCTCAAATTGTGAAATAATGAGGTGTTTGTTGAGCTGGATGTCAATATTTATGTTATCTCCAAAGAGATCAAGAAGTTAAATTTGAAAGGGGAGGAATCATTGATCTTTAATGAGAAGATATTTGCTACAAGTAAGACCATTGTGAATATGTGAGTCTTTTATGTTCAAAGACTTAATTTTTCAAAAATTGTGAGTTTATTGGATGAAAGAAGGCAACACAAATTCTATACATTTTCATTATACAATGCATATCATGGGGAAATTAAAATCATATTGTTGCTATAAAAGCTGGTGATCATTGGGTGGAAGAGGTTTCGTGGCATTCAATCAAATTAACCTAAATGAAAATTCTTTAAATTAAAAAAATAATTATAAATGTTTAACTATTAATAATTCTCAAACTTCAATTATTGTGAATTGAGGTCAATCAGTCAATGACACAAAGCATTATTTCATACGTTAAATTTTAGCACAAGTTGCATATATACTAAGGGAAATCACTTCCATAGTTCCCTTATATAACTATATAATTTGCAACCAAAATATTATCCTAAAACTCTACCTTTTTGTTAACCACTTTTCAACCCTTTTTTCTATCTTTGCACAAAAAAGAAAATGGGTGCTCTAGATTTCCTCTCAGATTACTTCTCTGTCACTCCAAAAAAGAAACACAAGCCAATGCAGGTTTTTCTCATGCTCCTATCCTATCTCATTTATGTGTGTATATGAATTATGAAAATTGTGTTTCATATTTATTTTTTGCAACTTCATTTTTCTCTCATAGACAGTTGAAATAAAGGTGAAAATGGACTGTGATGGCTGTGAAAGAAGAGTTCGAAGTTCAGTTTCACATATGTCAGGTTCATAACCATAACCATAATCATAATCATATCTCTCTTGTAATGTTGATATTAAAAGTTGGATGAAATATGATAACGTAGGTGTGAAGGAAGTGGATGTGAATAGAGAGCAAAGCAAGGTAACAGTGACTGGTTATGTGGATAGAAACAAGGTGTTGAAGAAAGTGCAAAGCACAGGAAAAAGAGCAAAGTTTTGGCCATATGTTGAATATAACTTGGTGGCATATCCTTATATAACACAAGCTTATGCAAAGAATGCACCATCTGGATTTGTGAAAAACACTGAATTAGCATTACCAAATCCAAATGGAGCAGATGATAAGATCACTTCTTTCTTCAGTGATGATAATCCTAATGCATGCTCAATCATGTGAAGCAACTTGTTTTTTCATTATCAATTATTAGTACTATAGATGAATTAAGATTTGGAAGCTGTTTTGAACATGTTGTAAAATGTATGATTAATGACTAGTAATCAAGTTTTATTTATGGGCTAAACATAGTTTTGTCTAATCACCATTCACTATAGTTAAACAGACTGTGATAAAACAATATCGAAAGACATCGATATCAATATTATTATTTATTATTTTTATAATATTTAATAAATTATAATTAATTCTCAACGAGAAAGAAGCGGTTAGTAGTACAAGACATGTACGTAATAAAATTTAAAAAATAGTTTTTCTCATAATTTTTTCTATTGAACATATGAATGCAAGGGAATGATTATTTGATTTCAGAAAACGAATTAAGATTTTTATTTTAAAATATTTATATAAGAAAGTTGTCTTCATATGCATGATCTTTTTTGAATGCATGGGGTTTCCCAGAGAAATATTTATTTAAAGTTAGAAAAAGTTAAGATATAGAATAATATTTTTATCACTAGGTGGCGTATAATATAAACAAAACACTTACAAAAAATCAAAGGAAAGAATACAATACATGATTGTCGATGCCTTAAATATATAACTAAAATTAGTCTTTTCAAGATATTTTGGATAGATAAATATCAAGATTAAAACATTGGTATTAAATGCATAGGTGTTACGGTTTTTTAAATATAAATATAGTATTACATATATTTACTAAAATATTTTATAGAAAAAACATCATTGCAAATTTGGTTTAAATATATAATTTCTCATTAAAAAAGTAATGTAATATTTCATCTTTTTACAATTTTTTTAATGACAAATTTAAATTAAAAAAAATAGAATGATAATCTATTTTTAAAATATAATTTTTCATAAAAAATTATTATTAAAAAATATATGTGTTTTTGTATTATGTTGAAATATTCAATAATTAATATCTAAAATATTGGAGGTAAAAATCGCTCATTTAATTTATAAAAAAAAACAAGTATAAAATAATTTTTTTTATTATATTTCATGAATTCTCATAAAAAAAATTTTCAAAATACAAAGTGAAAATTTATGACAAATTAGAAAAGAAAGCCAGGTGGAGAAAGAATAGTATAGCTATAAAAAATTTGTTATGGAGAGAAAATTGAATAAAAAAAAAGTTATGGATAGTAAATTAATTAATAAGGGGAATAAGATATATACAAGGCCATTATAACAATTTTCTTTTAATATTTGCCAAAATATATTGTAAAGAAAGATCGGTAAAAAGAAAATTAATTTCGAAAATTACAAAAATTTAAATAACGGTAAATCTAACCTATTCTTTACAAAATCATTTTTAATCTTAAAATCATTATAAGAAAATGTTTTCACTTGCAATAAAAAATAATGCAAAAAAGATAAAATTGACAAAAGAAAATAGAAAATAATTTTTTTTTACTTGTAATAGAAATTAATGCGAAAGTAAAAAGTAGAAAAAAAAATTAAAAATTGATCACTTTTGCCACATTATCCATCTCTTGAGTATGCTTTTGAACAGTGCAAACACTTTTTACCTACGCTTCATAAATTTTGATTACTTTGAATTGTTTATTACAATGTCATGAAGGTTTTTAACTAAAAAGCTTTCTTTTCCAAGCTTAAAATAAAATATAAATGTCATATTTGTCAAAATGTAGATATAATGGTATCTTGCTTTATATTTTGAAGTTTAGGAGTAATGATTACACAGAGAAAAGATAAATTAGTGGAATTTCATAGCACTAGTGGTGATTGATTTTGCAAAATAACTAGAAATGTTTATCTAGTTTCAACAAGAAATGATCATAAAAATAAAACATCTCCAATTTATCAAATATTTAATATGCATTGTTTATAATGACAAGTGAATTATTTGAACCATCCCTATCAACTTATGTTTTATATTTTATACTTTCGGCAGGGGTGGAAAAAAAGGGGTCTACATTTATAAGCTAAAAAATAAAATAATGTAGCTAATTAGGTAATTTGCAAAAAAGAAAAGCTGAAAATTATTTGAATATTATCTCTTTCTATAAGGGAACAGGAAGCGTAACTGCGGCATTATTGTTCTATTGGCATTCCATGATTTCTTGTAGTGGAACATCATGGTGTGTCTTCCATGGAAATTGACTCATACATCAATCTCTTTATCATTTTCGTTAGCCTCAAATTCAAAAATCTTAAAATTATTTTTTTAAAGATTATTACCATATTTTAATTTTTTTTTCTCTTTTTTCTATTTCATAAATTTGAAACTCTTAAAAATCTCATAAGTATCTTTTTTTAAGTCTTCTCGTAGTAAGTATGACTCATATATCTAATCCTTCTATAATTATACAATTTTGTATATCACTTGTTTTTATAGATTAGTACTTCTTTTCTATTCATGTAACATTTGCTTTGAGGGGAGGCAAATGGATGGGATAGACATTGTTGTAAATGAGGATTAAAAACATTGGTCTGCCCTACAAAAATGTGAGATGTGAAGGGTTTGTGTTAAGTGTAAATTTTGACTAAAATTAAATTATCTTTTTTAGCATATTTTGACTCAATTCTCATGTTTTAATAGATTTACTTCTTGTTCTTGTGTGTTTCTTCAATTATATTACAAATACCTTTGGATTCTTTGATGTGTGTGTTATTGTGCAGGAAATAGGCATAAGGAAGCCAAAGAATTGGTGAAGAATCAGCATGTTTGCTGTGCGAACACCAGCGAGCAGCAAGCGAATGTTCGTTGTGCGACGTCCTAGCGAAGCCCCAGCGAACTATCTCAGATTAAAGGTAGTAGGAAAAGGGCCCAAAGTTCGTTAGGCGAAGTTGAAGCGAAGAGGTTCGTTGTGCGAAGAATTGTTCGCACTGCAAACTCAGATATTTTCAAAGGGCAGTTTAACTGTTCCTGAGGCACTTGAAGTGCCTCAAAGTAGACTTCGCTTGGCGAATAGATGGTTCACAATGCAAACATGACAGATTTTGTAAATACTATATATATATATATATATATATATATATATATATATATATATATATATATATATATATATATATATATATATATATATATATATATATATATATATATATATATATATATATATATATATATATATATATATATATATATATATATATATATATATATATATATATATATATATATATATATATATATATATATATATATATATATATATATATATATATATATATATATATATATATATATATATATATATATATATATATATATATATATATATATATATATATATATATATATATATATATATATATACTTTTCTCACTTTTTAGTTAAAAGTTAGATATTTTTGGGATCAGAACTTTATCTCTCTTCATTTCAAGCATCTTTTAGAGAGAGAGAAACACAACCCCTAAGAGGGAGAATGTAATATCTTTGATCTCTTGTTGGATTTGGATGTAATCTTTTGATACCTTATGCATTTCATCTAATTTATGTATTGTGAACTAGTTTTGATTCTCTATTGTTGATTGTCTTTGATTTCTTATTTGTGGGTCTTGACAACACCTTTTTCAAATTATTTATCAAAGATTTTCATCTATCAATGATAAAAAATTTGACATGGTTTTGTGAGTTGATATTCATTTGTATCACATTTATTTTATTGTGTTAATTAAGTAGTATGAGTAGCATGAGTAGGATCAATACGGTAAAGACCGCGATAACGCTTGACAAACGGTATTGCGAGGATACATGATAATAGTGGTGAAGAACGATGTTCACATACATTTGGCAAATTAGTTGAATACATGTAAAAAGGGTAAATCGTGTGTACGTATTCTAATCATGACGTTATATATGAATCAAATCATTAATTTGATATGATTGTTATAGTAATATATGTTGGGTCTAAACTCTAGACATAAATTTAGGTTTAACATTCACGTGAGTATCAGTTCTTAATGCTCTTTGTTGGTTTTGTTGCGTGAGATATCACCGATGAGATAATACGACCGTTCTCTCGACTTTGCGTTAGTCATAACCTCTGTTGTGAGTGATACGTGATGATATTAGACGAACGTTTGAGTTGTGTATAACATGATTAGAAGAATGCTTGTGTTATCAATTGATGAGATCTAACTCCATCAATACTCCATTTATATTTCAGTATTTACTTTATATTTTCTGCCTTTATTTATTGTTTGTTGATCTTTCAACCAAACTTAACATAACAAGCTTAGAAATGTAGAGACCGTTGGACATCGTTCTTTCCCTCGCACTGATCCATGTGGAGACGATATAAACTCATGAGGGAATTCGTTCAAAACTAAAAAAAATTGTTTTTTTTTCACTTTACTGCAATTCGAACAAAATGGCGTCGTTATCGGGGATTGGTGTTTAGATATTGGATCACATTGCAATAAGTTTCTATATTTTTGAGCTTTGTGCAATTGTTTATATTGTATATATGCTTGTTTCTTTTCACGTTTTCTTAAGTGTTGTTTAGGGATAAATGATGAGAAATTCTTCTAGATTGGTTGTTATTGTATAAAAGTATCTAATGAAGATTCTCCCAAGTTTGGATGGTGATGGTAGGATGTTGAGTGTGTGGATGCAAGCAAGGTAAATTGTACCGCTTTATAGAATGTTAGAATGATTTAAGAATTTTTTGCTTTGTGCAAATGTGTATTTTTGTTTCATTTTACAACTTTGTTTGAATGCTTGTTTCACTTAGGACCAAAAGCCAAAAATTGTGAGAAATCTCCATTGTTTACTTTATGCTTAAGATGACTGATAAACTTTGTTTAATTCGTTTGATTCATGTTTTATCTTTTGATTATTGTGATTTTGTGGAAGCATTAGAAATGATCAAGGCATCTATTTATATTGAGCACAGCCATATCCAAAAGTAACTTACCCGTGAGTAGAGAGAATTTGTTAACCCCTTTGAGCTGAAACAGTTTAGATCTTATTTTAGTGATGAACTTGGTTTATGTACATAACG